CACAACTACTGCTGACCAATCTGTCATGCCAGGTCACATCATACACTGCTATGCTGCATCACCATCACCTTTTGAGCTTGCTGCACATTATCATTTGTGATTTCATGGTGAAAAGTTGGCAGCACACTCGAGGCAGGAGTGCGTTAGAGAGATGTCTTGCTCCTGTGAATCTGGAGTGCGGCTCATCACACGACACGCACCAACGATCGCCGCGGCGACGCGCGCTAAACACACCGACTCTTGGCTCGCGCGAATCCATGGCCCACTTACGACTTCACTGACAAGTGATTCCAAAAGAAACCGACTCGCTACTGTAGGCTCGCGCGCCTCGCGACGTAAACACCACGGCACGGGTCGGTATCCAGCACGGCCCATGCCTGGGACCAGTGAGTGAGTCTCGAGTGGCGAGTCATCACGCCGGGTCGCCAAGGCTCGCCCGCTCGCGGCGGAGGAACGACCAAAAGGTCCGCCGGCGCGGCCCGCGCCACTCATATGCGCGACACGCGCGTAATTGCTGCACATGACTCGAGACTTGCCACTTCAATCGTGGATTCTTCTCGCCCAGACAATCGTTTTACCTGCCCCCACCCGCGCTCTTACCTGCCTATCATCGCTGCACCATCGCTACAGCACCTCCCCGAATCAGCTTTCCAACCATGCCTGTTCCCGTAGGCCACAGTGGCGACCAACTTGCAGCCATCATCGGCAACGCAGCCCCAACCTCGCCCGCAGATGCTCGCACAAGAGCCTTGGCTCTGTCTGAAAAGCGACGTGCCATCGACGACGAAATCGCAGCGCAGAATAAAGTGCTCGCGTCACACAGCGTCAGGCCGGACACGCAGCTCGTCGATGCCAGTGGCTTTCCTCGCGCTGATATCGACTTGGTGGCGGTGAGAACTGCACGATCAACCATCGCACACCTCGTGACGGACAGGAAGCAGGTCGAAGCGGAACTTGCCCAAGTCATCGAGATGGCTCTGCCGCGTCCCCACGCGAGTAGCAGCAGCCAGCCATCGACTCCACCGCTCGCGTGCAGCAGCCAGCCATCGACTCCACCACCCGCGAGTAGCAGCAGTCAGCCATCGACTCCACCACTTCCACCAGCAGCACCGACGTACGGCCATCACGTCGCTCCCGCAAGCTCGTCCACATCCTCTCGAACCGAGCCCACTGCTACAGCGCTCGCTCCTCCTGCCCGCGACGCTGCCGACGATCATGCCGTCGGTACTTCGGTACCGCCCGCTACTGCCCATGCCGTCTCCGTCAGTCTTCCCAAATGGCAAGACAATGTCGATTACGAGGAGGGCAAGCTTGGCAATGTCATGGAAACTGGCTATCCTCGATTCTTCATTCACAGACTCGTGCAAAAGGTGAGTGAAGCAAGGCGCGAGTGAATGAAGCAAGGGCTCACGTCTACCCTTGCCACGCTGACGCGTCCCCCTCCAGCTCGCAGCGCTCATGCTGCGCAAGTTTGGTGGCGCAAGCGGAGATGTGGAGGAACAATGTCTTCTCGTACCAAGCGCAAGAGTCGCAGAGCGATGCAGGCAGTTCATGCTCTCTCAATTGGCTCTGACAGCAAGGAGCGCCTCCGCGACGCCTTCTATACGAGTGGTGGAGTACCGGATACAGCCAAGCGCTGCACCACCCACACCGAGCGCTGCTTCCATCAATCCATGCGGCGCGGCACCGCACGACTACATGCTACTCTACATTGTCCTCTTTCCCTCTAGCGTTTGGTCTTTGGCAAAGAGCTACTGGCAACATACAGGTGACGGCATTTCCTCTCGCTTCGCCCAAGATGTCCTCGCCCGGCTGGATGTAGACGGGGCAGCAATGACGGCAACAGATCAGCAAAACGCGCCAAACGTCAGGACAGCAAATGATGCACAAGCACATGGAGCAGCACCCCTTGTCGAGATCCCTGCACCGCGCGCGAGGAATCGCCACTATGCCAGGAGCAATTCCTCGTCCGGTGCATTGTCCATGTCCTCCAGTGGTACACTGTTACCACCCAGTCCCACGGCGCCGCGCCTCACGAATGATGTAGACGCTGGAACTGCTAGTGCAGACCAGGTGGCTTACCTCGAAGAGCGTTATGCTCGAGTTTTGCCATCCTCCATGGGTGACCTCGCAAAGGTGGCTCTTCGACGCAGGATCGCCGGCACACTTCTCATAGATCGCGACGGTACAGCCTCGCAAACTGACGTTTCGGCGACGGCAGACACGCTTCGAACAGGTACGAATCTCGATGAAAAGGACGTATTCCTGTTGCCATCCGGCATGAGCGCCATTTTTCATGCGCACCAGACGGCTTTGAGATGGAAGAGAGCGCAACTGACCGGCCAAACGACTGGCGAAGCGTCAATCACCAATCTGGGGAGAAGCGTCTGCTTTGGGTGAGTCTGTGCGATTGTTGACCGGGGCGCGTGCCTCCC